AGGGTTTGTGACTTTATTTTACCTCAGGAGGAGCAGGGAAAGGGATCCCAATGGGCTGTGCAGGGAATCCAAGGGATCCTGACAGGGAGGAGATGGAAGTGTCTCCAATGCCAGAGAACACTTTTTATTCTGGAAAGCATCACCTGGTCTGTGCCTGTGTCACAACACTGGACTGGCTGTGCCTCGGGGGAATTCGACCCCAGGCCCAGCAGCTCCCAGTCCTGGCCCTACAAAACCAGTTTGCTGTGGATGTGCTGTGGAAAGAGCCCGGAGTGTGTGAGGAGCTGACTGCGACTGCAGGGCAGTGCTGAGGCACCAGGAGGAGGAGGAGGAGGAGGAGGAGATCCCTGAGCAGACCAGAGAACGCTCCAGGCAAACTCAAAGGAGGGATCCCAGGCTCCCGATTTTCCGGTCCCTGGTGAGCGGGATGGAATTGCCATCGTTTCCTGGTTTTGTTTTTACAGACTGTGATGACTCTGGGGCACCTCCTGTCCCCTCTTCCCTCACTGAAATTCAGCCCCTCCCAGGGAGATCTGGCTGCTCTGATGGGGGCGAGGGGAATGTTCAGGGTTCCTGGTCTGCACCCCCTGCCCAGCCCAGCCCGGGGAGGAGGGGACGGGGTCGGGAGACAAGGGACAGGCAAGGGAGGAGAGACCCTGAGGAGCCGCCCTGTGGGGTGGGATTGGGCTCCTGATCCCACTGGGATTGGGTTTTTTATCAGGCAGGTCCTGTCCTGCCATTCACAACTGCAAAACTCCCCCAGACCCAGCCCGGAGGTGTGGGGACATTCCCGTTCCCAAAGGACATTCCCGTTCCCACTCCCGAGTGTGGCCCTGAAAGGGTAAATGGGGTGATGGGAGAGAAAGAGGATCCTGGGGGAATAAATGGGGTCCTGAGGGGTAAATGTGGCCCTAAAAGGGCAGTGGGGCTCAGAAATGGTCACTGATGTCCTGAGGGGTAAATGGGGCCATGCAATGGGAACGGGGGTCATGGCAGTGACTGGGGGTCAGGGAGGGACGTTCCCACTCCTGTGGGGCAGAGCTGGCTCAGCCCCTCAGAGGGAGCCGGGGGGTCCCAGCAGGGCCAGGAACCTCAGAGCCCCCGAAACGCCCCCAGACTCATTTCTGAGCCCTCCCCGGGAACTGGGGGTGACCCGGGTGTTACATCAGAGAGGGCAAGACTCCCCCCGGGGGGGATTAATTAATAATTAATTAAACCTGGCTGTTCCACCTGAGCCTGTATTAACTCATTGAGCCGGTACCCCCAAACCTACAGCACCCCAAAATTCAGTGGGTACCCCCCACCTGCATCATCCCCACACCCACAGCACCCCAAACTAAGGGCACCCCAAAACAGACCCAGCACCCCACACCTGCAGTGTCCCCTCCAGCCCCCCAGGTGTGGCACAAGCCCAGGTGAGCCCTGCAGGTGTTTCACACACTGAGGTGCCCCCCCAGGCCGGTTTTGGGGGGCAGGCTGGTCCTACCTGCTCGTTGACCGTCAGCAGGGCCTCCTGGGGCTGCCCCGGGCACGGCTCCATGGTGACCTGGCACAGGTGGGCAGGGTCACACCTGCCTCATGCTGCAAGAGGGGACAAGGACAGGCTGTCACCACCTGCGGGATCCTGTCTGGGATCCCCTCTCAGCCCCTTTGGAACCCTAAAAACCAGGGATGGGCCAGGTGAAACCTCCTCTCTGGAGCCCAAAACTGGTCCCCAAATCTCCAGGTGACACCTGGCTGCCCTCCCATGTCCCTGGCGCTTCCTGAGGGGGCCCAAATTTGGGGACACTTCCTTCAGCAGGTGACAGGAGTCACGGAGGGGGAGGGCTCTGGATTCACCCCCCAGGTGGGATTCACCTGCCCCAGGAAGCTGCCAGGGATCTGGGGGAGCCCCTCCTGCTCCCCTGGGTGACACCCCAAAGTCCTGAGGCAGCTTCTTCCTACACCTGAGGCTGCAGAAGGTGGGACAGCCCCTGCTCCTACCTGTTCCAGGTGGGATCAGCATCCCTGCCCTCCCCACACCTGTCAGACAGGGGGGCTTCGAGGCCAAACTGGGACCCCAAAGGGGAAGGGAAAAGGGGAATGGGAAGAAGAAAGGAAGGGAAGGAATCCCACGGGGTTCTGGGGGTCCCAGGGGGTCCCAGGTACTCACCCAAGGTTTGCTCTGGCCAGGCACGGGGCTGGGTGTGGCTGCTGGGCCCGGGGGCTCCCGGGCTTTGGGATCTCTGGTTTCGGGTCTCTGCTGTCCCGGGTGCAGCTCTCTGGAACTCGGTGCTCTGCCTCTCC